CCCCCCCCCCCGGAGATGTATCTGAAAGAAACCCTGAAAGGGCAATGAGCCCTGTCCTCAGCCCTCCCCCCCCCCTCCCCGTTTCTTCACGCCGATCAATGTGAACGTACTGGTTGGTTTTTAATCGTATGCCAATAAGGGCTCCCAACATGAGTTAATTCAGTTGGTGTATGCCACTGGATGCCCAGTAAGGTCTCCCAACAGGAGTTAATTCAGTTGGTGTATGCCACTGGATGCCCAGTCCGGTCTCCCAACAGGAGTTAATTCAGTTGGTGTATGCCACTGGATGCCCAGTAAGGTCTCCCAACAGGAGTTAATTCAGTTGGTGTATGCCACTGGATACCCAGTAAGGGCTCCCAACAGGAGTTAATTCAGTTGGTGTATGCCACTAGATGCCCAGTAAGGTCTCCCAAAAGGAGTTAATTCAGTTGGTGTATGCCACTAGATGCCCAATAAGGGCTCCCAACAGGAGTTAATTCAGTTGGTGTATGCCACTGGATGCTCAGTAAGGTCTCCCAACAGGAGTTAATTCAGTTGGTGTGTGCCACTGGATGCCCAATAAGGTCTCCCAACAGGGGTTAATTCAGTTGGTGTATGCCACTGGATGCCCAGTAAGGTCTCCCAACAGGAGTTAATTCAGTTGGTGTGTGCCACTGGATGCCCAATAAGGTCTCCCAACAGGAGTTAATTCAGTTGGTGTGTGCCACTGGGTGCCCAGTAAGGGCTCCCAACAGGAGTTAATTCAGTTGGTGTGTGCCACTGGATGCCCAATAAGGGCTCCCAATAGGAGTTAATTCAGTTGGTGTATGCCACTAGATGCCCAATAAGGGCTCCCAACAGGAGTTAATTCAGTTGGTGTATGCCACTAGATGCCCAATAAGGGCTCCCAACAGGAGTTAATTCAGTTGGTGTATGCCACTAGATGCCCAATAAGGGCTCCCAACAGGAGTTAATTCAGTTGGTGTGTGCCACTGGGTGCCCAGTAAGGCTCCCAACAGGAGTTAATTCAGTTGGCGTGTGCCACTGGATGCCCAATAAGGGCTCCCAACAGGAGTTAATTCAGTTGGTGTATGTCACTGGGTGCCCAGTAAGGGCTCCCAACAGGAGTTAATTCAGTTGGTGTGTGCCACTGGATGCCCAATAAGGGCTCCTAACAGGAGTTAATTCAGTTGGTGTATGCCACTGGATGCCCAATAAAGGCTCCCAAAAGGAGTTAATTCAGTTGGTGTATGTCACTGGGTGCCCAGTAAGGGCTCCCAACAGGAGTTAATTCAGTTGGTGTGTGCCACTGGATGCTCAATAAGGGCTCCTAACAGGAGTTAATTCAGTTGGTGTATGCCACTGGATGCCATAATACCTAATTTTTCATGCTAATAGATGACCTCCCCAACGCTATCCAAGACGCTTGAAAAATTCTTTCCGCGCTGAAATAGTCAAATAGACTGAATTCCGGTTTAAGCAAAATTGCACCTCTGGATTTCTAAATAATCTAATACTTCTGGGGAGACGTCCGATTTCGCTCCGGGCCATTGACGCCCTCGATTTCACCCACCACTTCCCGATAACAATGACAGTATGGCTGGCCCTGGTCAACAATTTTGGCGCTAATGTAGTGCCGCCTTGGGCGAGACACGAATTGTTCGGCGCTCCAAACTCTGTTCGAAAATGCCCCTCCACCATATAAAGAAAAAGGTGTCACCTGGGCGCACAACCCCCTCCGTCCCTCCTTCCTACGCCACCGGAACGACCCACGCGAACATCTGTAATCATCTCCCACCCCAATGACATTTCCTGGAAGAAACACTGGTAACATTTGCGCTCCATCTTGCAACACCTGTGGTGAGCCGTAGATATTTAAAGTGCCCAAATTTGCGATTAGGAGACAATGTAAACTATCAACTCTGAATGCAGGTGGGACAGAACTGCAAACGTGGAATGGGGCCTCCCAAAGTCACGAGCAGGGATGGACTGGACCGCCGGGACACCGGGAAGATTGCCGATGGGCCCTTAAGACCGGTGATGTAATAAAAATAAAAGTCATGAAGATAGGGCCGCTTTTTGTTTTTTTCCCGGGCCGCTTTGATTTTTTCCCGGGTCGTTGAACTCCCCAGTCCACCAGTGGTCACGAGATAGGCCTAGCTCTGGACAGGCTCACTGACTGAGACACTCATACCAGGACCTATATATCATTAGGCCTACTCTGCAAATGACTTTTCAACACTATTAAGCCGTTTCATATTTTTATATAAAAAAATATCAAAAAGTGAATGTAAGGGTGAAAAAAAACAAAAAACTAATATTAAGTATTTAAATGCATCTAGGGCCTATTTGTAATAAAAGTTATTTTTTTTAATCTCTCTTGTTGTTGGTAATCGGTGTATTGATTTTTAGTCTAACCCAAATAAAAAAGTTGGATTCTTTTGGTTAAAAATTTCAAATTTTGATCGACAAAACGATTGACTACAAAAAGACTAAGTCTAAGCATTGTTGTTTTGGCAATGCCGTATTTGATCCATTCCTATTTTAAAGAATAACTGAATTGAAGTTTGTAGATTATTCTTTACAACATCTTACATTTACATAGTCTTATTTTTAAAATAAATCTATTTCTACACTCATTGAACTCATTATTGAGCTTGGAGCAACTTTGTTTTTTAAGTCCTGAGTTGAGTTGAGACATGTTATGATTAGTAATGATTAATGAAAATTACTATGAAAGTGATGGTAATCTGTTTCAAAGTGCTACTTTGATTTTGATTGACTCTACTTGAATCCTGAATATTAATTTTTTTTCGTATATTGAATTAGAAATGAAATGATTATGATTATTATGAAATAGTAGAAGTGAAAGTAAAGAAATGTAACGATTTATTATTAATTATGATTAAAAATGATTTATTTAAGTAACTTAACTTAGTTAGAATAAATTATTAAATGAAATGCTATTCCGATTTCATTTGTGGTAGTTTATTTTAGTTAAACTAAAGAAGTAAGTTTACAAACATAATATAGCCCATTCAATCTAATTCAATTATCTTTCATTTGATACCAAAGTTTGTCTTACATCCCAGAAATAATATTTTAAATATTTTTAAAATCCCAACCTCTCACTTCTGATACCCAGGTCCGAATAGCCACTTTGATAAATTATAGTTAGGCCTACTTATAACTTGTAGTAATAAGGTAGGCCTAATTCCTAATGTTAATGTTATAAATTAGTTGTACTCAGCATCATATTATTATTATTTTTATTATATTAATTAGTGTTGTGTTAGCCCTGAAAATAGTAATAATCTGCTAATAATTATAATAATTTTTGGGCCTAATTATTACTAATATTATTAGCTTAAACTTGGCTATTCACCGTGGCCAAGGCCGAATCTAATTTGACCACCTTCTTCTACTAGTCTACACTCATCATCCGTATCAGTGAAACAGCAATGAGTGATTTCAACTAGAGCTGGTGTTGTCAATCCAATTCAGGCAACTGGTTCACAGTAATAAAAGACCATTTTGATCACAAGTCAACATATTGTAAGACCGCATTTCATCACAAAAATTAAACCAAGGCTTTTACCTAAAATAAAGATAAAATAAATTATGTAAACCTACAAAGTTACTTATTTATTCTAATGCATATCATTTTCATAGGATGACACATCTGCAAGTGCAGCACACACAGTATTTTAAGAAAATAATTTGAAAATTAATCAAATCATAATATGAGTTTTATTATAACAAGATTAAAAAGAAGCACTAAGCGAATAAAGAAAGAAGTTCATTTGCATTTCATTTGGCATCTCATAGGAGGCAACATTCAACATATCAGGCACATAGCAGTCCCTTGGTTGGCCATCCCTGATGTAGAAGATAAAATAATGTTCAAATTAAGGATGATCTGTTATTAATTTAGGCCCACTCAATTGGCTACTACTTTAAAGGAATCAAAATTGGATAATAGCCCAGGGGGCTAGGCTGTTTACAATTAAGACTTGGCTGTAGCTAAACTATAGGCATAGGCAGTACTACTACTGACTACCAGTTTTTGTACTAACTACTAAATTAATTGGCTCTAACTTTAGGCCAGTACTCTTTCTAGTTCAGTCTAAGACTTGATGGGCTAGTAAGCCTCGGCACAATACCTACGACTCCAATTTAATTTAATTGATAATACATACAAATGTTGAATCCTAAATAAAAAATATTTCCCTTTACTACAGAAAACAAGCTATGGAAACTACAAACTGCATAAAAGAGGTCCTGAGAGCTGCAGAACACTACAACAATAACAGTAGTCAGTTAGCTTATCTGCTGAGGCAGCTAGAGGTGGTTAAATAAATTTCAATTTTATTTTCAATCCATCCTAAAATATATGTATTTTCCTTTTTTTTTATCTCTCCCATCGAAGATTACATGAGCTATGAGCATGCCATAAGTTAAATAAATTCTTTTGAAGACATTTAACTCTGCTATGACACATTCTTTTACATGTCTGCAATAGTTTTTGCACATAAATATATATATATATATATTTTGCTAATTTTTATGTGAAGCTTGGTGAGCCTGATAACTGCGTTAAATGAGATTCTTTTTTTTTTTAAATATTGCATTTTGTGCGTAACATTTTCTTTAGTTTTTCTGAAATAGTTGGTGAATTAAATCTGCGTGTAAAAGCGGGTGGGTCATTAGAATATTAATATAGTCCAGGGGCATGAATTTGCAGGGTATTACATTTATAAAGGATTTATACGAAAAACTTTGATTTTAGGGGTTGTTTCATTCATAAATCAAAGTTCATAATTTTAAATCTGTTAAGATTTCTAGATGCAGTCAATCAACAAATGAGTTTCTAGTTGCCATTCTAAAGGTTTTAACTATTTTTGCAACATATGTGCAACCATTTAAATGTTTATTTTATAACAAATTTGTTTCAGGCCCTGCAAAACATTTCTTCCAGATCAAGCTATATTCGTCAACTGCACTCACTTGATGAAATAGAACTTGTTTCATGCCTAACATTTCTAGTGGATGTTGTTAGAGAAGTCCATAGGCAGAGGGAGTTGATGCAGCGTGTGATAAAAATTTTGCTTAACCTCTGTATGAGATGTTTATTTTATATTATATTTTTATTTTAATCAGCTCTAAAAACAAACTCTGATATTAAATTATTTACTTACGTGGCACATAAAATGCAAAATAAAATTTATAATTTAATTCATAAATGAATGCCCTTTTTTAATTTACTCTATACCCGGTAATATAGAAAATTATTTTTTTATCACTGAGATCTAAATTGATGGATTTCTTTCTATTTTTTAAAGTCAAAACATAACATATGAAGTTACCAACAAATTAGGAAGGGAAAAAAAGGTGTATTAAGTTTCTGTATATCTTTATATGCAATTTCAGCCCATGATGAATACGTAAGGAAATTGTTGTTTGAGACTTTCAACCTGTCTTCCTACTTGGCAGCAGTTGTTGTGACTTATTATAGATTTCCTGAAGAAGAGCAGACAATGTCAGATGTAAGGGGACTGCTAATAATGCTGTTGCTTTGCTAAATATAGCCTTAACATTGCATTATAATTTTCATTAAATAGCAAATAGTTTGTAAGATTGGACTATATTATATTCAGGGCTCGAGTCCTGCAGAACTGCATTGGAATGGCATTCCTGTACTTCCTTTTGTTGTTAGGAAATATATGTTTGCATTGAGGGGGGGGTTAGGGGGTGGTGAAAAGAATCTTGGGTTAGTGCCTATAATTTTTACTTTCAAGTCATAAGTTTGAGAAACACTTTGAAAGAAGAATAAATTTATGCATTAGACTTACTGCTCATTTCAATGTTTACAAATTGTTTAAAAATATCCATCTCATAAGCAGCTGACAGCTGATGAGGACTTCAGTGATCATTTACTTGTTGACACTTGCTGGTGTTCTTATCTTTGAACAAACATCTGTTTCTTTCCCCATTCAAACAATATAGGCTCTGCAACTTTTACAGAGGATTTCCTATGGCCATCGTGTTGACTACCATATGGCAAATATGGAGGATTTACTCAAAATACTTATTACAAATGTGTAAGCTCAAATTGTTTTTATTTTAAATGAGATATGGTTACTTGAAATATCCCATATAGCTTTTTTTTAATAGTTTGGTTATTTGATTTGTTATTAAATAAACATGTCTTAGAATAATATTGGTCTATTCAGTTCTTTGCAGCACGCTTTAATATGCACTTTGAATGAGAGTCAGTGATCAACTATGTTAAAGGTACCAGTGTATCTCATGCATACAGAATATCCCCTAGTTAACATTTTGCAGCTGTGTTATAATTTTGCTTGCAGGCTTAACCAGACAGAAACACTCATTTCTCCAGTACTGGGTACGCTGGCTAATCTGTGTCGTAATAATGTACTTGTACAAAGTGCCATTAAAAATATGGTAAGTAGACTTAAGATATTGAATCACTTGAACTGTGGTTGTTGATAAGTTTGATACTTCATGCTATGTTAAAATGTCTGTGTAAAACGTGATGGAGATAATTGATCAACATTTGACATTGCTACCTCATCTGGAATAATGGGTGGTGAATGCTGAATGATATTTTTTTGCCTTTTCTTATGCCTACATAAGAGTCAGGTGGAGAAAGGTTATTGAATTAATATTATTTTCTAACTATTCATTTTCAGTGTCAGTCTGAGTTCAAAACCTTATTAAAGACACTATGTGGGTTCTTTGGAAATCAGAACAAAACACTGGTGATTTTTTCAGTGAGTGTTCTTACAAGCCTGTGTTTAAATGTAAGTAAAAAAAACATCCAGGACTAGAATATTTTATTAATAACTATTTTCTTAAAAGTAATCACAAAATAATCTTTCTCTAGGTATAATTGTATGTATGTATGTAATGCTATATTCAATAGGCGCGCAAAATAAAATTGAACACAAGTTAGCACTAATTGGGATTCTTATAAAGTATGTTACTTGAGTGCATGTCTTATCAGGTAATATTAGTAGATTGGAAGTTCTCACATGACTGCCACCATTGTATGGCGGGTTATTTCTAGTTTACTACTAAATTAGAATGTCACCATTTTGAAGGAATGTGATTAAAATAAATTTAATTAAGGAATGTTGTTTGTATCACCAGACGTTACAATGTGGCAATAATTTTGATTATTTTTAAGGTCTTTTTTGAAAGCAACAATGTAGAACAAACACTGCAAACCATCTTTGGAATCATCAAAAACAGTTTCAAAACTGTGGCTTGGAAGTATGCAGCAGACCTTTTAACTGACTTGCTCAGATACCCCCAGATGCAGTTGTACATAACAAAGTATGTTCACCACTGTTTTTCTTTGAGTTTGTTTTTTATAAAGTGATTAATCTTGTAATAGCAAAAATTTATAGAATGCATCACATCTATTTAAAATTTTGTTTAGCTATATCTCTATAGCTCCTAACACATCAATGTTTCCTTTTACCCTCAATGGCATTATGAGCTTGATTTTGGAAAAAAAAACTGGCTGGACTTATGTTTCTTTAAAATTTGTTGTATTTGCCAAAATATTATAATTGCATTATTAGTTATGTTTACCACAATATTATAATTCCATTATTTGATCTATTTGCCAATTTATTATGATTGCAGATATCGCCATCTGAACAAATGCATCAATGAAATTTTGAATTTATTACCCACTGGGTCTGAGGAATCAGCTGCAGAGGTAAATAATTTATGTTAAATTAATTTATTTCCCTAGTCCTACTCTGTTGAAGTTAAAGTGTAACACATTTTTTATTAACTTTAGCTTAACCTACGTCAAGTGGTAAAAAATAAAGTGATGATCTCAAATGTGTAAGGGCAAATAATTTTCATATTTAAAATTTTTCTAGCTTGATGTGAGAATTGATGTTTAAACTAAGGCTTGTCTCTTTTTGGTGAAGCAATTTATTTTCTGTTTCTTTGATTCTTCATTATCATTCATGGCATTTTCCTCAGATATTTGAACTGCTTCTCAGCCTTTGTTCAGTTCCCTCCATTCGACAAAGTGTCAACTCCAGACTTTTCAGTCCTCTATCCCAAAATGAATTTACCTCTACGCTAATGATTTCTGCTACCAAACAACCTTTGACCCCAGACACAGATGCCTTATTGTGTTGTCTACACTGGGCCGCCCAAGACACAAAGCCCAGGAACCGTGCACCGTGTCTTGCCTTAGATTTTCTCATTGATTCCTGTCAGGTATGTTTATGTCTAGCCCAGTGCCTTAAAAAGCTGACCAACTCTTGCCTACTGCCCCTCTTATTGTACAGTGCTTGACCCAAGAGCAGATTCGCATTTTAAAATTCATAAGTGAAAACCAAATGCAAATAGTGGTGCTTCAATGTCATGGCGTTCTCATTCAGCTTATCAGCCTCTTTTTTGATGTCCCACTTATAAACCTGTTTCTAAAGCCCCTTACCAAGAGTCCACTGTCCCATTAACTCACATCCCTTATCTGGCCTACAATAAAAACACTAACCTCCATTCATGGATTGCCTTTCTGTTCACTTAAATTTTTGTCTGTCCAGGGAATGGGAATTACATATTACACAAATCACTTGTGTCTCATCAAAAAAATGAATTAAAATCATGAATTGTCTTCAATAACATTTTTTTTGTGTACAAATATGAGTATTAAGCACTCTTGACCATTGCCATGAATCAGGGCCAGCGCTAGACATTTTTAAGCTGGGTGAAAATAGGCAATAGTCACCCTCTGGAAAATTATGGGAAGAGTTCAGAAATTTTGTGTTGTTTTGATTTAAAAAATTTTTTAATTCAAATTGGCTCTGTGTGATGATCACGCATCGTACCGGCCTTGAGCCGTCCCTGCCTTGAATGTAGCCAACCTTTTCATGATTAATCTTTCTAAATTTTCTCAATTTAATTTTGAAGTATATTTGTGGTTGTGTGCAGTTCATTAAATAAAAAAGAAACAACTGATTTCAGGAGTGTTTGTTTGGGACTGACAGCTTTTATCCAATTCACCAATTGGCACCTGTGCTAACAAACTTACTCTCTCGAGAAGATCAGACTGACGCCATTGAAAAAACTCTCCGCCTGGTCAGACTTCTTAATGGTGAGTTTTATGTTTTCATTAAATTATAAGTTTTTGGATAAGGGGTAACAAAGCTTTTTCTTATAGGAATAAGTCTTATGAAATTAATGTACATAAATCTTTTTTATTTAACATTCACTTGGCTGTTGCTGTTTTAAATTAATGTCACAATGTGCTTTTATTGAATAATAAAATTTATTTACCCATTTAAAATGGCACTACTAGATGCGTTTGTTTTAAAAATATAACACAATATTTTAGAATTAATAAATAAAAACACTTACAGTGGTTTCTTTGCAATATGTTGTCACAAATGTATTAAATTAATTTTTTTTGGGTGCATCAGTCCTGTGTTCCAACAAAGAAAGTCGAGAAGCCCTGGGAAGCCTTCTTGCAATAGAAACAATATCAAATGTGCTGGAAAAGAGTGTTTCACAAAAATATAGCTCTGCTTGTGTAGATACATCCACTAATGAAGGTCTGTCTTCAAAGTAAGTGATGCATGGTTAACATATACTTAATGTTTAGGTTTATGATGAAAATCTATTAAAACAATAAATTAAGTAACAGACTAGTTACTTCAGTTTTAATTGAAAAACTTGAAGTTTACCCATATTGTTTAACTTAAATGGATACAATAGGATTCATCAGTGTCACATTGTGCTGTTGTAACAACTTAATTATTCATATAGCACTTATGGCAATCAAGTGATTAAGCTCTAACATAACAAGAACTGTTATAAACAATATCTATCATTTTTAGAGAAGAAAGTGCCATACTTATCCTAGACTTAGCATGGAGACTCCATAAATTTATGGAAGGACTCACAGAATATTTGCTCACAACTTTGAAGGTTTGTTGTTTTTTTTGTGTGGTTTTTTTAAATACCCGGTAATAATATTATATTAGCCTTTATCCTATGTAATGAGTAGTGATATTTTAAATTGATTACAATAAATATGAATGGCAAGTAAGTTTTTTATTCTTAAGTAAAAGCCTATGTGTTCAATAATTCCAGTATAGATACATTTGCAATGCTATTTCTTTCCACTGAAAATTTCATGGTGTTTGGGGTGATCTCACAATATATTGATAAGAACCTTTCTTACAACTTATAAAACTTATCCTTTCAAACCCTCAGTCACCAGTTATAGTAGATCTACTGGCCAAATGTCACTCTTCAATTAACCAAGATCATGTGGAGATGGCTCTACGACTGATGGCTTATACCATGGGTGTGCAAGACGCCAGGCCTGATGTCATGTAAGTTAAACTTAAGAGACAGTGATTTATAAACTTCCCCAATTGAGACTCCAGTAAGCCAAAATCCATCATGTTGGGTAATATATAGATAAGAGAACAGTGAATTGCTAAATTTTTTGACTGCAAGTTGAGTATTTTTTAACATTGAAATTGTAATAATATTGAAGCTGCCCTGTGCTGGACTACTCTTAATTTTCTGACATATTAATGTAAGTAATTGACTAAAGAAATATTGTAATTTTCAATTGGCTGTACCATCTACTCTGAGATGATATTTTTTTAGAAATTTATATAAATAAATGATTCATTTTCTAATTTAATAAGCCTATATCATTTTCACAAAGATATATTTGTGAGTTTTCAGAACATGAACACATCATTCATAATTGAAACTGACAGTATGAATATTTTTATCTCTTATTTTTAAGAGTGACCATTTCTGCTCAGCTAAAACTAAAAAAAAACAACTATTTCTTCCTTGTTCTGCAACATTCAGATATCTGGAACAATAACACCAAATTACGATGTGGTTGTTTTAATTTTATTTCACCCTACAGTTTTTAATCACAGTAGGAATGGTTGTGATAGAATTGTCTAGGACAGGGGTGTGCAAATTTTTTGTGTGGAGGGCCACATTGACAAATGTAAAGGTATTAGGGGGGCCGCATGTATATTATGTCCAATTTTTACATATGGATAAACATTTCTCTATATTAAAATAGGTGAATTGGCATTGTAGCATTACATGATAAAAGTCAAGAACTGTTAAAAAAATTGAAAATTAGAGAGAAAGTTGATCAAAAATGTTCAAACAATCAAAATGGACCGAAAATTCTGTAAAATTCAACAAATTAACTTAAAAACAAAGAATTTTTTTTATTTCTAAATGCCTGAGAGGGCAGCATAATATCAGTAGTTGTTTGCCTACCCCTGGTCTAGGCATTTTCTGAAAATGACCCAATCAGGAAAAATTTAGTCTGTCATATTGCCTTTGCAGCCTTTACCTCATTGCATGTTGTTGGATTTTTATAAGGAACAGAAAATTTCAGCTTGACAAAGAGCTCACATTTACGTTTATCATCAGCCTCTGTGGATCAATTGCCTGCCTAAATAAACAATCATTAAAACGACGAAGAATCGACTCAGACCTGCCACACAAGCCTGAAAGTTGGACAGACAGAGTGTTGGAAAACAAAGAAAACCAGAACAATGGCCTCAAGGCAAACACATCAGAAAACTACATAGACCTAAGAAGCAAAGGAGATTCTGGTTCGGATAAAGATGAGACTACCCTCGCTAATTTTATAGAACGCATGGAAAGTATTATAGAGGTAAAGTTTTATAGAGCACATTGAAAGTATTGAACAGTGTGTGTTGTGATTTAATTAGCCTCATTTTGTGGAAATGTTTAAAACAATTTAGTTTAAAAAAAGAAATAATAATAACAAGGCAAATACAAATAATTTTATCATCTATCTTCTAAGCGAGAACATTAAACACTTGCATGGATTTATTTATTTAGTTTACACATGTAGTAAATTAACTTTGGTTTTGAAATAATTTTCATGTAGATGCAAGATTCACAAGATAATGTTATAATAGTGTGCCGCCACAATACTGTTTTGTCTATTGAGTACTGCACTCAATTCAGCTTATTTCAGTTTGCTCTAAACACAACTTTAAATTCAAGTAACAAATTAATTTTTTTTTCTTCTTTTCCTTAAAAGCCAAAAGATACAAAAACAACTGAAATTATTGAAGTATTTGAGCACCGCATCAAAGCATTGCAGGTGAGTTTTTATTTTTTTCAACCTGTATTTTAAAATCTTGAGACCATTCATCGGTTGTTTCAAGGTGTCAACTCATTGGGTGTTCTCAGTGAAAAAAAAATAAAATTACAATATACAAAAAATAAGCATTTCTCATGCATACATGCCAGTGTTACATTTTACTTGTACTTTGTAGACTTTTAAAAAGTTTTTTGATTTTTATGAAGTACGATCATACAGGATTTTTTACAGTTTTTCAATGTATTTTGAAAAGAAATAGTTTTGCACATGACACTAGTTCATAACTGACAGTGCAATAAATTCAAAATCTGTCAACATGAAGTTTAAATCCTATCTGTCTGTTCAAAATGACCTCTGGCCCAAAGTCTGGGATTGACAATATTAATACTTCAGTATTTACCGGTAGTAACTACTTTGATAAGTAAAACATAGTTACAAATCTGTTTGTGTAATTCCTAATATAACTTCCAATTAACACTTAACATCCAAATAGTGCATAGAGTAACAAAAATACCTCCATCCAAACCATATGACATTTTCCCCAGTACGATGAAAAATAATGTTATAAATTGATGGTAAACTCGTTATGTTTGTCAATGCTGGAAAAATTTATATCCTTTTATCAATTTAAATAACAGGAATCTGTATTTCTGATGAAAAACAAGCTTTTTTATTTAAACGATGTGATCCATCCATTTATTATTGATGTAAACATGCTAAAATGTGTGCAGTGAAGGGAAGATAATAATGAATTTTTCTTGTTATAATTTATCGCTGTTCGACCTTTATTAAGCCAAAAAACGGTTAAAATCAGTCAATTAAGTGTTCAAGAGGTGAACCTATTTATAAACTAATTAACAATATACAAAAAGAAACTTGGAATTATTCACACAGCTGGGGAAGTTTCTTAAGTTAGTGGCTGGTGGAATATCCTGAAATTATTGATGCCTAATGGCCACTTCAATGAATATTGTAAATTATAGTGAGAGATGATTCTCAATCACTACTATCACTAAATGTTTTTAAAAATTAAAAAAGATTGCAGAAATTGACTTAATGGTGAAAGGATCACATCTGTTTAGGGCAAAGTACGATGACACATTTCAATTTTGTTTTACAGAAATTATCAAGCAGGCAAAGTTTGAATGCTTTCAAAACATTGATAATCAAAAGATGAAATATTATAATACTTTTTCTTTTTTTTTAATTTTCATTTATTTCTGTAAAGTATTTCATGCATTTGTAAAGTTTAAAAAAAACTCTTTTTGTACAGTTTTTGATCTTACAGGTTGTCATAGTTCATATGTAAACTTTTCAAGTTATCTTTAATTATCAAATCAAAAACAAAATTTTACTAGTTTAAAAAAAATATATTCTTAGAACAAAAAAGAAAATAAGTTGTGCAGAAATCAATGTTCGTGTATTTTTAAAAATGATCTAGAACTAAATAATGTAGCAGTCAGAGATGAATGTTTTAAGGCAAGTCCGGCTTTTTACATCACTAAAGCTATTGTATTAATGTAACAAATTTTTTAAATCCCGTAAACTGGTTTAGTATTTATTACCTTCATGGTTTTCTGGAATTTCTTTTTTTTCTTTTTTTTGTGTAGATCAAAGAAGAGCACATGAATAATCTGTTAGAGGCAAAAAGTCTTTCAATTACTCAGGCTGACAGACTTATCGCACAATTGAGGGCTGAAAAAGCTTCACATTTCACAGAGGTAAGCTTCTCTCAATGAGTAAATTCCCTCCCATTTCTTACATGTCTTCATTAAAATCAATGTCTCAGTTTCCTGTCTCCAAATATTTGATTAATTTGACTGTTTGTATTAATTATTTGGTCTGACATTTACACATGGTATGCATAAATCTTTAGCTGAAAATTTACTCTTCTAATATTTTCAAAATTATTATTTAATCTTTATCATCATAAACTATCAGTTATCACACATCTATATTTTTTGTTCAGTCCAAAATTTATATTTATAAAAGCTCCAACATCCAATTGAGAACAATTTTGTAGATCTTTTTATTTTTAAATTTCAGGCAAAAAAGCTCCAGAACATCCTAAAAGATTGTGAACGTAAATCTGAGCAAATGATGTCACAAATGAATGAGATGAGGATTTGTGGTGAAAAGGATAAAATGCACTTTGAAAAATTGTGAGTACATTTTGATTATATCTGATGAGGGTTGGTTGAAAGGTTGGTTAAATTTGCCACCGCTGCCCCTTCTGGAATGCATGATAAATAAAAGATATTGTTATTTGAAATGTTTTTCAGGATCAAGGATGCAAAAGAAGAAATTGAAACTGTAAAGAGGGAGAGAGATGAAAATGCTGAAAAGTATGTTATTCAATATGAGTTATATTTGTATACGATGTAACTTAAGTGAACGAAATATATTCATTTTACTTACCTAATAGATAATATCAACTTTGCTCATAAAATAATGTTCATTGTTCAACCTTGGTTGCACATAGAAGATCTAGGTGCACATTGAAGAAGTGTGATTTGTTTTATTAGTTACTGAATATTAGTTCAAATTTAGGCATTTGAATCACCCTGACATTCACTGAACATCTGGATCACAGATACACTTGAATTTCCCCTTGTCTTATCAGGTGTATGGAGCTAGAGGAGCAAGTTGCAGCATCTTCCCAGGAGAACAGAACTTTGGCCAGCATGATGGAAAAACTTCAGGATGCTCACGAGACTCTCAAGGAACAATACAATGTGTAAGTTGGAGGTTTTGTTACTTTGTTACATGCATCCTAAACATAATTTGGTCCTGGGCTAATAATGATGTATCAGCTTGAGCTTTATGAGTTAGCTAACACCATAATATCAGCTTGGCCTTTATGAGATAGCTAACATAAAAATATTAGCTTGGTCTTTATGAGTTAGCTAACAATAATGTATCAGCTTGGCCTTCATGAGTTAACTAACACAAAAATATTAGCTAAGCCTTTATGAGTTGGCTAAAAATAAATTATCAGTTTGGCCTCTTATAAAAAAAAATATCTTCACTGATTAATAATTATATTTACTATTTAGTTTTCAAATTATACAAAAAATTTTCTCTTTTTTTTTTCTGGACACATTTTTTATTTTTAAAAATAAATTATTTTTTAAATGTTGTTTTTGTAGTAAGCCAGATACATCATATAAATATTTCTAATCTACGTTGGTCAACAAATGTATTATGTACATATTTCTTATATACGTTAGTCAACAAATGTATTATTTACATATTTCTTATCTACTTTAGTCAAAAAATGTATTATAAACATATTTCTTATTTACGTTGGTTAACAAAATATTTCTTATCTACGTTAGTCAACAAATGTATTATATACATATTTCTTATCTACGTTGGTCAATGCATAATTGTTCCTATTCATTTAGCTCCTGTAATCAAAGTAAGCAGTTGGAGGAAGAGAGAAAGAACTTATCCAAGCAGCTTAAAGAAAAAGATACTTCTCTACAAAGTAAGAAGAACCTCAGCATTACAATTTTTAAATACATTGATGGCTTGATTTTTACAAAAAATGTTTTTGAGTTTTTAAAAGTTTATTGTTTTTATAAAACAAAATCAGTGTAATGGATAAATCAAAATTTATTCATTATCTACATTTAACATATATTAATTAATTTTTAAATACACTTTCATGATTAGCCCAGTTTTTTTTTTGGAAAGATTTTCACTTTTAAGTGACCAGATTTTTTTGTTTTCTTACTTTCTTACTACAGTAATATTTACTGGCAAATATTTTTAAGATTGCTCTAGATGAGGGGAGTAATGATCCAAATAATCATATTTTCATCCAGAACTGAGCTCAAGTTTGCAAGCATTGCAAAATAAGTACAATGATACTGAGAAAGCCCGTGCTGAGCTAGAGAAAGAGAAAGAAGACATTGAAGCCTATGTTGACAAACTGCGAAACCAGCTGAGCAGCAGTGAAAACTCATGTAGACAGCTCCAGCAGAGGGTAAGTTATTTTGTAGCTGAAGATATTCATCCATTTTATTGGCAAAAAGTGTTTGGTATCACTGTATCCAGGATCAGGCTGAAAGTACCAAAACTTTTGTTGGGCTAATCAATTGGCTATATTATTGGCAATCATTTATCTATGTTGCTTGCAGTTTTAATCTACTGTATGATTTTAATTGTCTTAACATCGACTTGGCCTTTTTTAAAAAATTGTTATCAAAAGCTATTGTAGATACTTTACACGCACAAAAAAAGACCAAACAAATCATAGATACGTTTACCCACTCAAAATTTTGTTTAAAGATAATCAAAAAACAAAACATGAGTCCATATTTTTTGTTACAGGCTGTAACACTGGAAGACATCAACCGTGACCAAGAATCACAGCTAAAAATGAAAACAGATAAAATTGGAGAGCTGGAAGCAGAGTTAGAAAAGCACAACCAGATAGTCTCATTTATCAGTAATCTCCAACTGAAGAATGCCGGTGGGAAGAAGTGATTAAGGAAAGACAAAACTACAGATAAAATTTTGTAAATGATATAAATGGATTTATCTTTCATCAAACAATGCTGCGCAAGTGGTTTACCTACTAACTTGTCCAAGTGGGTCATGAAGAGTTTGTCAATGACCTATTTTAATTTTTTTATTATGAGGCTTATACCTAATGGGATTGAATTCTGATGTGCTTGGGTCATATAAGTGTGTTAAAATATAAGTGTTATAATAAGTGTTAAAATATAAGTTTTGTAATATACAATGGGAGAATGCTCAACTATCAGAATTAGTAGTTATGAGACAAAATGTATCTTTTTTTTAAAAAAATAATAATTGAATTGGTTTTTTTCCACTCCATGAAACATGGTCAAAAGAATAATTTCTTACTTTTCCAAGATGTGCCTTGATTTTGCTTTGTTGTCTTTAGCAAACAGTTGCTCTTATATTAGAGCAGAATGTAATTTTTGAGAGCTGTAGCTCCAAAAAAAAAAAATGTGCTGTCATAGTAGAGATCAAGCTGTGGTGTTAAGTTTTAACCATCAATGTTTAACTTCTCAAAAGCCTTGCCATTCATTGTGAAACCTTTTGAAGGGACCACATTTAAACCCAGGTTGACATTGAACTTAACTTAAAGCAAGGATGGTTCTTGATATATTTTTTGTTTCAAGCAGCTTTGCATGGACCAATTCATTGATGTCAAGGGACACTCATGTTATGATTTAAAAGGAGGAACAATATTTTGCTGTTTTTACTCAATGTTATGCGTGACCTGAATGAAATGTATTTAATTAAATGTTAAGAGACGATGCTTTTAATGTTAACACTTAAGCCCTGTGTTTAAAATGTAAAAAGAGGACATTTTGGATATTTCTTATTCAGGACTGAAATGGTTTTTATCTCTAAAACTATTTTATAATAAAAAAAAACATTTCATCCCATTTGTTTATCTGTCTTGCCCATAGAGTAATGCTTTACAATTTACAGTAAGTGTAAACATCTGATCTGACGAGTTCTTGTCAAGACTTGTTGGACATCAAGAGGGGATTTAACATTTAAGAATGGCTTACACTTACTGGGTCAATGTGCTATTGAAGCATCCTTGTAATTTTGATAATAGAATTCACCATATAATATCCACAAAGTGATCCCCAATTATACTATTAAATTAATATTGCTTTTATGTAGTATTTATAAATAATACCAAGTTGAAGAAAGAATAGGATTTATTGAGTCATATTCTTACACAGAAAAATTATCAAGTAATTTAAAGCAGATCTTTCGTAACAGAAATCACACAATCTTAAACAAGTACAGAATTGAGTTGTATATTTGTTTTTTATTATGTCTATAATAAAGCTAAAAAATATATAAATTTCATACCAAGTAGTATACAGTACCACAAATGTCAAGAAAACTTTATCACATAAATACATTAACAGCGATTTTAAAAAAATGAACATTAAAAACCAATTGAGAATAATTTATCACTCAAAGCAATGTCTGTAAATACACTTCTCACCTGGAAACTACACATTAGGGTAGTAAGAGAAATACTGTGTTGTAATTAGAAATATGGGGAGGACTGCATTCAGGTTGAAGAAATAAGAAATATACAAAGGGAAGAGGAAAACCCGAAGGAAAATAACATAAGGATTGAACAGGTCAGGAAATTGGCAGGTATCGGCATTAAATGAATGATGCTGAATGAACTTAATAAAACAAAATACCAGTTACTTTTTGTGTGTGATAATTTGAATGCACTGCTTGTACTATCGTAATTTTAATAATTGCATGATGTGCAATATACTTATTAACTGCACACGCAATATTTTGCATTAAGTACAAGAAAGCCTGTGGTAAAATGGTTGACACATGTAACATATGACTGGGACTTTTTCTATTTATTATCCTTGGGGAAATAAGACGTTACAAGCATTGGTTACTATCAAGATTTCTATGTCCTCACAGCGGTATGTTTATATGGTGGCAAGATTTCTATGTCCTCACAGCAGTAGGTGAGATTGGAAACAAATATTAGTAGACTAGAGACATCCTAATATTGGTGTTGGTTAAATAATTTTAAAATCCTAGCGTCTTTTAAAACCCTATGAATTAAGCCTGCACAACATACGGCCCGCCAGCACCCACTTTGCGGCCCGCGAAGTAATGAAATATTTTTTATTATTATTATTTTTCCCCTTTCCCATTTTCTTTCGGCCCGCACAAGTTTTTCATAAAGTATTACGGCCCGCCTTGCATTTTCAGATGGGCAGGCCTGCTCTAGATTTACTTCTATTCTACCATCTTGACAAAATTTCTGAGATCCCAGAGGAGATATAAATTTATCAATAAAATTACAGGATAATCTGCTGATTAATCAGTGCAACCTACTAACACAGATTAAAAAAGACACAAAAATTTCTACCACAGTTAAGCAAAATCACAAGTCACATATTGTAAAGAAATATGTCTCAAACAGCCCCTCCAGAGAGCCTGGTAAAAATTTCACCAATCTATGTTAAAAAATTAAGCAATATATGAGATTTTTTAAAGTTTTATATATATAAAAAATTTAAAGGAAAAAAAAATTTGGTTAATTAGAAAAGCATTGTAAGAAAATTTTTAAAAAGAGAAAAACAATTTTTTTTTAATGAAATGATTTTTAAAATACCAAGGCAGAGGTGTTACCAAAAATAACGTATGCATTCAGAGTGCTTGCCCTCTTGTGAAAAGATTTATTAAATGAAAAATGTTAGTAATGCACACTCAAAAGTATACAGAATAGAAAAGTATCCAAAAAAAAATATAAATATTCAACTGTATCTATTCAACTATATCTGTACCACATATGTATATTACCAACAATAAAGTTTTTTTTACTTCATTTTATCATCTGACTCAGATCATGTTCTGAAATTATAGACAGAAAATGTATTAAAAAATTATATCACCCACATATCAAACTTGAATAAATACAGTTTAAGCTAATCTTGTGTTTAAATAATCTAAATGAACTGATTTTGGGCTATTAAGACTTTGGAAACTCTCATGTCACTCATTATTGCCCGGAAATTAATAATTATGACCAAAAAAAAGACACTGAAAGCTTTTGCATATATTTTTCTGTTCATTAAGCCCAATTAACATTCTAAAAATTAATTTCATACCATATATGTACATCTAATATATGAAAAATAAAACCCCAAAAATATTTTTAAAAAATTCATTTAAATGTACATATTTAACCATGAGAACAGAATATGTTACTTCAACCTTTTTACACCCATAGTGCAGTGAAATTAGAAGACATTAAAAAAAAAATCATATCATTGTATTTTTGAGTCATATATTACATTTCAATAGAGATAGAACAAAAGGAAATTTTAAACATCACTGAGGCACATGATTTATATAGAATTTTTTGTAAGTACCATGTCATTTTGTATTAATTATCAAAATATTTTCTGTCACTTTTGTAAGGCAAGCTGAAATGTTTTTTTTATAAACTGAAATGTAATTTAAAGATACAGAGTTTAGAGAATGATAAATGAAAATAACATCCGATAGAGAAAAAAATTACCAAAAATATTGGTACTGGCATTTAAAGTTTCTTTTTTTATCCATCTTTATATCACTGAGAAAAGTTTCTTTGCTCTGACCACGTGCATCTACTTTGAAAATGCCTCTCTTCACATCAGCTATAAAATGCGGCACATACAACTTTCTTAAATTAAGATGATCCGCAATTTACCTGTTCAGAAATATATTTTCAAGTGTTAGTCCAAAGTTTTGAAATATTAAATTTAAGGGAATCTTTATTCCTAGCCAGGGGGCTAGGAATAAAGATTCTACCTCACCAGCTGAGTTTTTTAAAACTCAGTTTTCCAATAATAGTTGAACAAAATAATAGTCCATTTTGCTGGTAGTAGTCTTTAGCAGGTGGGGTACAGATGCATTTGAACACACTATCTCCGGGTTATGAAGCAATGAGATATAATAGTGGCACATACTGTGGGATTGCAAAACATAACTATGGAGGCAATTGAAAAAAACAAGTTTTCTTTTAAGTTGTTCATAACATGTAGTTGAGTTTTCAAAAAATTAATCACTGCCTTACAACCATTCTACATTATAACTATTGTTTAAAGTCAAAATGTCATCAAATTTGAAAATCCAGAGAGGGGAACTGCCTCTTTCAACCCTATATGCCCATACTTGAGGTGAATTAATAATAAAGACATTTGCTAAATTTTACAAGTTGTTCAAGTCAAAGACCTAAATACAGGAAAGAAAACAATTAAGAACTACATATTACTTAACTGGAATCTAACAAATGGAATGTTTTGAGATAACATATTTTAAGTTTTCTCAGGCAGACCAGACATCTTAACTACCAAACTTTCAACCAACAACAGCAGGGTTCTCGACCTCGGAACCTGCAGCTGCATGCGGTCCTGTAAGAATTCTCTAACTCTAATGACCTGCTTTGAGCGATGTCTGTTATAAGACAGGGTAATTTGTAGGTATTTAGTAGCCTTTCTGCCATTGAATCATGGTGCCTATTCTGGGCCTGGAGTCAGATTTTGAAAGTCAACATTTTAATATTATAGCATGAAGGTCGGAGAACAAGGGCAGATAATTGCATATTATGAGATATCTCCACAATTTAGGCAAAGGATATTATATTTTAGGTTATAATATTAAAAGTTTAAGCATAAAAGAATGTTTCTATATCTGTAGTACTCTTTAATAAATTATCATCATCTCATCCAGCAGCCATTTGAGCATGAGCCCTTCAGCCTAGCATAGGTTTTCAAACTGGTACATAACAATTAATCATGATAACATAATTTGGAAACAAGATGATGCAGAATAAGGCATGGGTGATAATGTTACATTAAGAAATGGGGTCAGCGGGCCGTCGAGCTTGCGCTCTTTATACCCTCCCCAAAACACCGCTCCCCAACCCGGTATCGGGTCGCGGAGCAGCATGTCGGGGATGTCCCTTTGTCAGGACAGCACCCACCCGAGTCTGCTCGACCAGGGTCTCCGCCGGGGGCCGTCCTAACCCAAAGACACCCGGTCGGTCCGTCACTGTGTTTGCGCACAGAGCACACGATCGACTTTCTCAGGAGTCGGGATGGAAAAATTTACGTCCTAATATCTTCCCCCACCCATCCCGGGGAAGCGTTAGACGCCCTATAAGAGGGATTCTACAGTGGGTTTCCACAACGCAACTAATTCGCGATGTAGCTGGGACGAAACGGTTGCCTTGGAGGGCTGCGTAGTAAGAATCATTGGCCAGAGGTTACCACCTTCGCATCTCGCCTCATATCCATTAGCGGCAACTTGTAATCATGATCCCTACCCTGTCTCTGTCTATTTTTCCAGTTGGGAAGTATCACAACTGGCAGCCCTGTAGGAGCTGTTTTATGTACGGCAGGTACCGAGCACATCCCTTGTCTGCCCACGCAGTACACCCCCAGTAGTTGTGTTCCCCGGGTAACGACGAGGGGGTCGGTGGCCGACCACTTCTAATCGACAAGCCACCAGAGACTTGTCAACCGGAGAACCGGGGAGGGCATGGGTGATAATAAAAGATGCAGACATTATCAAAACAAGAAAATAAAAAAAAATCAGGCATGGCAGAGAACTCAACAACAATTGATTTAGAAATAGATGTTTGCGAGTTCACCAATAAGTCATGAGATTCAGTCAAAGACATGAGACTTTAAAAAAACAACAAGATCCATAAATTTTTTGTATCCTCCCTGTTAGAGAATTAGAGAAATAGTGAGAAATAACGTAACAATAAACTAACGTAAAATCTGGAGACTACTCTATTGACTAACATAACATAAATATTTATTTTTTTTAAATCTCTGGTCTTTTAGTATTAATTTTTGAAAGCTAACATTTGGGTTTAGGCAAGATGATAGAAATATGACATCATTGATAGATCTGTACAGAATCTTTTTTGGTGTAAAATGAATGTAACTTGAAACTGACCCATTCAACATAATCATTTCTGGTAGACGCTGTGCAGCTTATCATATATAAGGCTGTACAAAACTGCAAGAGTCGCTTGCTTTATTTGGTTGATAATGAAGAATTGAATTATTCCAATTTTCATTAACGCTTGCCCTGAACACTTTTAATAATTAAATCCAAAACTAATAAAAATGGCTAAACCATAAATAATCTTAACTTGAAGAAATTAGAACACTATTTCATGACAAACATATTCATAATATAAAATGACGGGGTAAAAATGAGTTCAATGACTCCCCCCCACCCCCCCCCCCACCCCAAAAATTGGATACTGGAAAAAATTATTAAAGTTTTTGACACTAATATTTGGGCTTTACATTTCGAAGAAAAAAATTGGTGAGCTCTTTTTAGTCAAATACATCAGGGGTGGGCAAACTTTGTGTGCTTAGGGCCACATTGACAAATGAAAAGCTATTGGAGGGCCGCATATATATTTTGCCATATTAGCATTACATTACGAAGGTCAAGGACTGTTTACAAAAATAGAAAATTGGAAATTTTTTTAATCAAAAATGTTAAACCAATCAAAACGGTAGATGAAATTCTGTGAAATTCAACAAGATAACTTAAAAACCAAGTAATTTTTTAAATTTCTAAATGCCCACGGGGCAGCATACAACAGTTGCCGTGCCGCATGTGACCCGCCGGCCGTAGTTTGCCCTCCCCTGAAATACATAATCAAACATAACAATCACAACAAGAAGTTTAACGTCAAAAGCAAAGCAGCCTTGTTCAATTACTAATTACAAATTAGGATTGTTTATCAAGTTCATTTTTTCAAAATGGCACAGATTATGTATGGCACACGTAAAGGCGCTTACAGTCACTATAGAATATAATTTATTCAAATGTACAGAAACAGTGACATATTAAGGAAAGTTACAATAATCAATAATGGAATGTGGCATTGCCCATTAAACCTGCATTGAAAACCCTGATTAATATATAACATGAATATTAAATTGTATTCTTGTGTGTTAAAATCATATAAATACATCATCTAGTCATCCAGTGACACTCATTGGAAAACTTACAACATAACTGACAGAGGATGCCTTTGTGTACACATTCAAAAATTTAGAGCCATTACCGACAGAGATTGCCTTCATGAAGACAATCAGGGACTGGAACAATCTTTCAAAAGGAACGGTTGAGGCGAAAACACTAGACACATTTGTGTCTATTGCCTAAGGCCTTCAAACCCCCAGTGCATGATTCCCTCACAAAGTGGCACTGGAAATCAGTGAAATTTCCTCATCAACACCAGGAACAGAAACATCTACATGCATTGGAGCCAAAATGATCAATAAATTGATCGTGGGCCCTTAAGATATAGAAGAAGAAGAAGAAAACATATTCCCAAACATAGGGGCCATAACCCATAGAGTATGATCTCATCGGTTTAGGTTATCCCCAAAGCAATATCCTCAAAAAGAAAATACCAACACAGCAGTGATTACATTTATCCCAAATTCTCTTCTTTTGAGGCTTACAATCTCATCTTCTCTTGATTAATTGTCAATCAGAGGTGTATTTAAAACAAAGGAACCTATGATTGATGTATAATCAATCGCCCTCCTGATAAAATACTATCTTAACAGCCCAGCTGTTTAAAACATAAAATTAATGCACATAAATACCCCAAACCAGCCATAAGATAACAACTGGATCATTAAACCAAAGCTTTTCAGACACAAAAAAATCAATAATGGATTTCATCATGTGCTCCATTACCATTATTTTTATTCAACTTGCATAGATTATATTTTTATAAAATTCGTTTTTCTAAAATTATTAGGGCTCGTCAAGTTATAAAAAATGTTGGATTGTTTGTGTGATTGCTAAAAAAATAAATAAGCTTTAAAAGGTGACATTTTGTTTACGAACACTAAGGGTATTCTACAGGCTTTTACTCATGTAATATTTACAAAAAGAGACTGTGAAAAATAAACCATTTGAACAATCCTTTAATTTAAACACAAAAGCACCATACATAAAAAAAATGAAGAAAATCGGCTGTGAATTATGCAATAATTAAAATTAAAAAAAACTATTCAACACTCATGCTGAAAATCTTCCAGTGTGGCTAATGGAATGCTAGAGAGGCCAAATTTTAAGACATAATATCTTCACCCAAATATACTACTACTACTAAATAAATTCACACATTTTTACAATAATAATAATTCTTTTTTTTTTTTTAAATTTTTTTCTACAAAATTAAGTTGCATTTATTTCTGGCCATTAATGAAAAAAATATATCTATAAACATTATTTGAAATACCATATTGACCCGCTTTAGCTTTTCATTATGAAACATACCAAATTTATCATCTTTCTCCTTACATTTGATCTGGATAATTTCAGCAATCTTCTTTTTTTCTATACATACAATGCAGTAGTTCTGATGCCATTTCATCTTATACTAATTTTCTTTAAAATGTTATTTTTCAAAATCACTTCCTATTTTACAACCTGGCGGTCCTTTCTCTAACCACCAGCTATCTTTGTATAAATATTTAAGGATTTCAAGATCATCGTGTGGTACAGGGATCTGCCGACCATAGAAGGGAAGTGTCTTGAATGGTGCCTCCATCAGCCTGGCAGGAAATGACAAAGGGTTGTCCTGGAAGAACCACAAGAATCTATTTTCAAATCCGTCTTCCAGAACTTCACCAAATGGGGTCACGTAAAACACATTGAGGATAACCTCCGCTGGGCCTTTGGTGAAAATGTATTGACCATGACGATAGTCATAGGTTAAGTTTATGTCTTCTGCAAGGCATTGTTCTTTCAAAGTTTTCCATGGAATTTTTTGAATTTCAGACTTTAAAACACAGAACTGAAATTTTTAAACATAAATTTTAATAATTTCTTAATTACTCCTTCAAAGAACCGTTTTAAAAGAATTAAAAATTATTGGCCTAATAATTATTAAGTATGGCATATATTTTGTAATACATATTATATCAGTATTTTCCTTTACTAAATTTATGAAAACTCTAATTTTTAAGTTAGAATGATTGCACTAAAACGTGAGAATTTTTCAAGGCTGTAAACTGGGCTCTAATTTTTCATTATAAAATAGTAATTTCCCCATCCAACATCATCTCACCCAGACAAGGATTTTACTAAATTATAATATGATATTTCAATGAGTACTTCTATAGGCAATAATGTTTTTTATATGATGACATTCACTGCAATTAAAATTTCATTTTCCTAAAAAATCATTACTGCAGCAGTTATCCAACTTTTTTTTCTTAAAAAGGTGTTTTAAAATTCTGTGACACTGGACACACTTCAAGTAATGAAGAAAATTGTCTGGTTTGCTGAAGAGAAGTTTTCAAGCAATTTATTATTTTATTTATTAATATTGAATTTGTTATAGGTCCTATCCTACTTTGTAGATGAAAATGCTACAAAAACTTTTTTTTTCAATTTATATTTATAGATATAAGGACATATCTTACCACCTTTCACTACACTACAGTGAATTAGTTAAAAAATAACTGCCATAAATTAAAGAGAAAAAGACTTACATCAACATTATTGTCCCATGGTAAAATAGTTTCATATCTCAGCAGCCCCCAAAGTGTGCCATAGCAAACAGCATGCTGTACGCCCAGCTTTGTTAGCATATCTGACATAACAAATGTGAGATCAACCATTTGCTTGATTGTAGACTCGGGTGTCTGACAAGGCGCAGGTCGTTCATACCATGGAGTATTATGAATGTAGCGGTCATTGATAACAGTAAACATCAGGTACAGAGTAATGATGAAACATCCAAACACAATGTAAGTTGCCTTCCATGGCACCCGGGCGGCAAATCTTCCACATCCTCCACTTATTTTTAATTGTACTTGGCCAAATCTGAATTAAAGAAGATAAAATAAAATGATCTTGTTGATATTCGTGTGATTTTGTTCTTACTTCTAAATTTTTTGCCCTTTATTTAACTTTTTACATTAGATTTTTTATTATTGACAACTTGAAACACATAAACATTTCCATTATTAATAATGGTTTCTACAACTGCCAATGTTACCTGCCAAGAATAGCTCTCATTAAAGACATTCTGTGTTGAGATGACATGACACAGTTCTCACACAGTAAATGAAAAGCTGCCCTGACAGATTAAAAATGATCATCACCCATTTCTAGAATCAACTTCTTTCTCTCCAGCACATTTTATACTAAAGCTTATTCTGCAAAAATAAATTGAAAGATAATGTTTATGTTAATTTTTTAATATTCAAATAAAAAGTTTTAAATAAAGACTTCAGGCAGAAGTGTCTTTACTATTTCACATTAGGAGACATTCATAAATGACATCACACATCTAGAGGGCATGGGAGAGAAATCCACATATTTGTAATGAGCCTTTTTGACACTAATCGTGAGATGGGGGGGGGGGGATAAAATCAGCCAAAATAATGTTACATTATTTATGGGTGAGTCCTATTTTGAGGAGTTACTTGAACTTTTTAATACTGTTTTAGCATCAAAACTGGGAACATGGATTTTTTGTAATGTGAGAAACAAACAAAATCTTATTTTGAAACTTAGAAAAATGTTGAAAATAAATAATTAGGCCTACATGTTAAAGTTACTTCAATAAAAAAATTTTGTATCTATGTCTTGGGAAGTGGTTGTTGGTGAAGCAGATGAATGGCTATAGTATATATGGATTTCATAAACGTTAACCTGCAAATTCTTCCTGTAACTTTGCAATGGCATCAGTAAATTACTACCAAGCTACTACTGAATGGTGAGTACATTCAATTCCTATGTAATGTCAACATAAAAGTCAAGTCCATGAGCCATTAGCACAGGAACAACCACCATGAAAGCTTGAAATGTTAAAACATGTTCTAACAGTAGGCAGAAGCAGGCAATATTTATGAATTATTGATGCGAAGGAAGATGCTATAATAGGGAGAATGCATTTTGATTTTTTATCGTAGAAAAGGCCTTTTTGACTAACCCTATTTTGAAAATGACCATGCTGACAGGCTCGGAATTTCCCTCACTTGAAAACGCTAGCAGCAATTTTAATAGGGATTCTCTGATACCATGTCAGAGTCAGATTGCTACGATTTACACAATTATCGTTGTGCATTACCCTCTAATTGACTTTTTAACTTTTCTCCAAACCACACTTTGGCCAAGCTTTTCTCATAAAATGCTATAGTTAGGCTATACTATAACATAATAACTTTTAAACTTTTGGTCTGATTTTAAAATGTTTTTTACAATTATAATCAACTTCCAAATATATACAAACATAAAAATAAAAACCAGAATTAGACTAGTTGGTGAGATGTGACTGAAACTTGAAACCGTGGCGGAGATCATTATAAAGTATAAAGATATGAGAATGGCCTGAATGGGGAAAATGCCCGAGCTGCATTAACACTAAACTTTGCTGTCATGTAGCGGGCCACAAAATATCGTCTTGCGGGCCGCAAATTGCAAGCTTGAGACCCTTATACTATAGTCTTTACTTAATTTACTATATTGTCTATATTGAATCAATTCTAAATTCTAGGTCTATGCCTACCCAGACTATTATTAATACTACTAAAAGTAACTAATAGACTATGATTAATACTTTGACAATGACAATGACTATGAAGTATGAACTATGATAATAATGATAATGTTGAGAAAACCTATTCTTCTAAAGACTGCAATGCGAAGTGAACCAAAACTTAGGCCTATTATATAAAATTGACCAAAATTGATTTTAAAAAATAATAAAACAGTTTAAAATAAAATAATTTAAAACAGTCTATAATTATTATGTCATTATTCATAGTCATGGTTAAAAAAAAAAAAAAATTACAGAATACATTTTACCTGGGGTGAATGTTTCGTTTCCTTTTGAGACAATTTCTAACAAAAACCAAGTGAAATTTGCAGAAGATCCGAGATATATACAATCCGTGTGCATTTGGCGATTAGGTTTGCTAATTGAAGACTAATTACTGGTAAAGTTGATGGGCTGTATTAGGATTTAGGAAAATGTATATTTTAAGTTTGTGCTTTTTATTTTTGTCTAATGAGGTAACAGTATTTTTGTCACTAACTTAACCAAGCATATCGAGGCTGTAAAGTTGTATTTTGCCGTTTATAATTGATATTTCTTGATATAATATAGGTCAGGCCTGGGGCACTAACATTTTTAAAGTGATTTATAATATTTTTTAATATCTTAAAAAGGTGTACAGAGACATTTTCTTTGTTAAAAACTTATTATCAAACAATTATGAGAGCAAACTAACATAGCTATGGTAAGGTAATAAAATCGATTTTCGAAATATATGTTAATAATCTATCAGCCGCGACATACTATGAGTTAGACTTATTATGTGTTCAGCGGATTATTAGATTTACAAAAGAATTGAATACATTCAAAATTTAATACATTTTCGATCAGACCGTCTCTGCAGTAGAATTAGGTAGGCTTACCAGAAGCCCTAGTCAGGGCTGTATTTACAGCAGCGGGGGCCCTGGTCAAAGTATTGCACTGAGGCCCCCTATCCCTCTATATACAAAGAGCCGTGCGAAAAGAGGGCCAATCACCCCTTGCGCCGACATCAGGGGGTGCCAAAATCGCCTTTAGATCTGCCCTTAATAGCGAATAAAATAATAAAATCCCATGTATTTCACATAGACAGGGGCACCACAGTCGTCTTATTAGTCCACCCTGGGCGCAGCTTTTCCTTGGTAGGGCTCTGTCTATGGTCTACTACTCAAGTAATGTTATGAAAAGTATTATGGCCCAGGTTGGCCCATGCATTTTGGCCAGTTTCTTTCAGGTAATATTATCCGTTGGGAAGTGGGGGTAGCATGTCAGGCGTTCGGGGGGAGAAGGCAGGTGGGGTGCAGGGAATCTAATAGCACATAAATTGGGGATTTTGGCACTCAAGGCAGATTTGACTTTGTCTACCCTCCATACATAACCATAAATTCATTCTGGTAGGGGAGCTCACATTCTGGTAGTATGCTTTTAAACCAAGCTTAGTTTCGCCCATGGGCATATATATATATATATATATATATATATATATATATATATATATATATATATAGTCTATATATATATAAAATATTGTAATTACTCAAATCAAACGCTTTTTTTTTTTTTAGATTAAAATGTATTGGTACAGTCACTTTAATTGAGAGATAGGAGATGTGGAGCGCAACTGGTGGTAAGGTTTGTTTATTTATTTGTTTAAACTACCTCATTAATGAATGGATTTATAAAAAAAATCTCCGTTCAAAACAGCTGTTCTTTAGAAAAAAAAAGAAAAGAAAAAAACAAAAAAAACAAACTATGTTACTAACTATAATAAGTACCAATTTCAATGTATTTAAAAATTCATAAGGTTTTTCCAAAATTTACAGTTACAAGAAGAGAGAAAATAATAGTGTTGCGTGGCTATTTTAAAAGGTCATTAATAAAACTTATCTAAAACTTATCTGAATGATATAAAAAAAGAAGATAGGAAATATTCACAAAAGGCTTCTGATATTCATTAATATATTAATTATCCGAGGAAAGACAAAACCTATCGAATTTCCAAATAAATGCAGTAACTTATAAAGTTTATTGAATTGATAACTACTTTAACTTTCTTCATTTAAATAACTGACTAAATGGCGCCCTTTAAAAGACTCTATAATTAAATTTACTGCTCACCCCAACCAAATATTAAAAAAAAAAAATTTAAATGCCTGGGTTTCTTTTTGATGTAATTAACAAGTTATCAAAAGAAACGTTGTCTAAAACTAGTACTTAAAGCAAAAACGGAATTGATGTAAAAATCGAAAGACTTGTTAAAAAAAAAAAAAAAAAAAAATTATAAAAAAAAAAAAAAAAAAAAAAAGGGAGAAACGGTCTTCCTGGTTAATTTTAAAAGCAAATTAAATTGACCAAAAAAAAAAAAAAGTTCAACATACCCCCTTGAGGCGTGAGGTCCCTTAGAGGTATGAGACACGGGGAAAGTTCCCAGCTTGCCTATGCCTTAAGATGCCGCTGGCCCGGGATTATCCTGGTTTAGCGACATTGTCCTGGGGTCCCAGTCTCCGGCATTTGAAATTGGTCCCGGTTTCAATCTAAGTTTGATAAAAGTTAACTTGTCCTGTTAATCTTAGCAGAGCCGTTCTTAGGAGTTTGGGGGCCCTAAGCATGGAGCGTAGGTTGGGGGCCCCGGAAAGGGGGGGGGGTCCGGGGGTGGAGCTCCCTCGAGCTGAGGAGAAAACACCACCCACCACTGCGGCACCTCCATTCTGCCTTCATCAATGTTGCCTCTTTCCAATTCCCACGGCCAAACCCCTGATTTCCTGTCTACCACCCCCAAAGCTCCCCCCTGCTGCTTCCCTTCCCCTGCCTCCCAATTCAACTCAGAATGATAAATTTCAGGATGAGGAAGGTAACGTGAGTGAGATAGACGGCTGCAGTGCCAGTTAAAAAAAAAATCGGGGGATCGAGGGTACCTCATGGTGGCCCCCTCACGTTTGGGGCCCTACGCGGATGCGTAGTCAGCGTATGCCTAAGAACGGGCCTGATCTTAGATGGTCTCGTACACATTGTTAACATTAAAACCTGGCTGGTAATAAATTCCCTTTTTAATGTAAATTAGATGTATCTGTAGAGAAAGAGGGTGTAACTAGGGTTAGTGCTGCCCCCACACCCCCTTCTTACGCAATCGGTACAGGCTTTCGCTTTCTAAGCTTGTATTAGAAAATTGTTTATGTATTATAGAGCACCAAATATTCCACACCATGTAATTGTGGCACACTGTAATTGTGACCCCCTGTTCTTATGCTACTCAGTTCTTGTCCCCTTGGCACTGGTGGCTTTCCGTCTGTTGGCACTCTGCTCTTGCATTTAACTTAACTCTGCTATGAGAGCGATTCAGTGTTCTTATCTTGCTGGTGTGTGGTCTAACAATCTTATTTCAATGCCAACTAGAGATAAGCATGTCAAATGCTCCTAAATTTCGTTGTTTAAAGTTAAATAATACTATATATAAATAATAATAAAAGCATCAGCATTGAGATAGCCGTAGTGACTGTCTTTTGTTCTGGATATTTTTGGAGATAACACCATAACCTGCCCTCCATCTCAGCTCTGGAATCGGTACACAGCCTTTCTAAACCAAGCCGGAGTCGCTAGCATTTCATCAACTCCAATACAACCTCACATCGTTGGTATAGAAAATACAGCTTTGGTTCCGTCATTCATCAGCTTTATTTAATTCCACTTAGACACGAATCATCTCCGATTATTCATCATCAAACAAAGAGTTGACAGCTTATAATCAATTTAAATAATTATATCCGATTTCCCCAGCCATTTCAAAAGTTTCTTTGACTTAAAGAATGCCGATCAAAACGCCAGAAGAAACCGAGTAGAGATTGTCTTAAAAACCTGGCCAACACTTGCACTTTAAGGATGTACAGCTCGCGATACTTTCTCTTGTTGTTTGTGACGGCAGCGCTGCCGAGGCTTTTTGGTAAGGGAACAAATGTTAAGCATATGATATAAACAAGTTGAGCTTGATTGAAACGCACGACAAGAATTGATGCTTCTAAAACTAGATTGAACATTATTAACATCGGGACCAGTGGTTCCCAAACTTTTTTTTGTTACTCTCACGTTTAGACTTTTCATTTAGGATTTATGAGTACCCCTCGCCCCCCCCCCCCCCCCCCCCCCCCCCCACACACACACTTTATCTCTTCTTTTTTTCCCCTTACCCTCACTCATCCCTAAAACGGATTTAAAAAATGGATTAGCTAAGTAATGAAACGAAGCAGACAAAGCTAATGACGTCATATCATAGGCTTTTATTTTCTCTTTTACAAGTTACTTCAGTAACCATTTTTTATTTTTTACTAAGTACTTAGCTAAAACGAATCTCAAACATAAACATTTCAATATTCTATTGTACCATAAAAGGGGGAAACAAATATATTAAAACTCTCAATACCGTACTGTAATACAACAAAACGGAGTTCTTGTTATTAATTTTATTTGAATTTTTTTTTGTTATGAATAAGAATTGTTGTTAATAGCTGCTAAATATTTAAATTGATATTTTTTTTTCTTAGATGAACGGCTGTAATAAAACCTTTCTGCCGTTTTCCGCCATTATCAATAATAAAACTCTTGTGTACCCCAAGCGGTCCACAGGCTGGGAACCGTTGCTTTACACAACGACAATGCCGGATGCGTTTATTTTACTTAGTGTGGGATTTTATAAAATACCCGTTGAATAAAGTCCGCACCGCAGGTAAAGGGCAGTTTCTAGCTATGAAGTAGGCTAAACGAATTTAATTTGAAGCTCCCAAAGTTATGAAATGGTAGGCAATTTTGTAATTTCTGCAAATCCCCTAAGTCCTAATTATCCTTGTGTCATTCTTAACGTCTGCTGACATGTGCTGCACGCAGGGTCGGATTAAGACCCCCCCACCCCTCTCCCAAATCAGGAACAATAAGCACATAATAGGTTTTGGTTCCCTCCACTCCCTCCCCTCCCCACTTGCATACAATTATTTTAAACGGTCCACAGAATAAGTCTATTATACAACATATATTTTTCTTCTGGTACTATTTAATTTCAAGGCCCAAGTCAAGGAAGACAACTTGTCCAGGTACTAATTAATTTCAAGGCCCTAGGCCAGGAAGGCAACTCGTGCAGGTACTAATTAATTTCAAGGCCCAGGGCCAGGAAGACAACTTATCCAGGTGCTTATTAATTTCAAGGCCCAGGGCCAGGAAGACAACTTGTCCAGGTGCTTATTCATTTCAAGGCCCAAAAATGATCGTGGGCCCTTAAGATATAGAAGAAGAAGGAGAACTTGCCCAAGTCAATATTTTATTCAGGTTTTATTGTAAAAATTAAATAAAGAATACATTTAAAAAAAAAAAACCCCTTGAAAATACGAAGGAAAGTCATCGGTGTTTTAAAAAAGTATTATTATGCCAATACATTCGCTTTGTTTGTCTTTAAAACAGTTTCCTTCAACTCTTTCTATCTGCTAACTATTTGATCACATCACCAGCATGTATTTCATGTAAAAGAATTGCCTCGTAACCTAATTGCCGTAACATGTTCTTTTGCACATTTGTCATTTGTCCTGTTGGGATTTTCAAAGAGCTTAACCTGAAAAAATGACAGTCTTATTGGGCGGCTTGTGACCATGGGTGGATAAGCAAGCTTACTGGTTACGAAGCAATCCTATACAGGCCATGTTATAATAAGCTAGCATTTATATAGATTAATATATGTAATAATATATGTGTCTAAGGAACTGGCCTAACCTCCAAGAGAAAAAAAAAACCCAGTGTTTGTGATTTCTCCTTGCGAAGTCTATACACCATCGTCACATTTTTTATGTACTGATTTCTGAAAAGTTTTTTTTTTTTTTTTTCATTTTATGATTTATCAAGAGAAAAAAAAAACCCAGTGTTTGTGATTTCTCCTTGCGAAGTCTATACACCATCGTCACATTTTTTATGTACTGATTTCTGAAAAGTTTTTTTTTTTTTTTTACATTGTATGATTTAATATAGCATCATTTATGTGAACGTCCAAAAATAAATTATGATAAGCTTAAATTCATTTCTAAAATTATAAATTCGATTTATTTCCTGCAGTGTCAGACGTTAACATCACACTAACACCAGATCACGTGGATGAGGGGTATACAGAAACGTTCACGGCCACTTGTTCCTCTTCTCTCACACTTGGAACATTGGTCCGCCTGACGCTGTCCCGCGCCAACGATTCGTCCGCGGCATTCAAAGACTTGGCCTTTCTCAACGAAATGTCGTCCAACCCTAGCGTCACAGCCCCAACCACGACTGAAAACTTCACCGCCACCGGAAATTACAACTTGTCTGGTCCATCACAATTACAGGTTGAATGGAAGCATCCAACAGAAGTTCAGAAGGGGGTCTATAAATGTACGGCAGCCGGACTGGACAACTTAGGGCACATCTACCAGGAAGACGACGCTAAAATACTGGCGGTGGTGACGCAAGGGCCGAATCAAATTTTAGATAAGATCAAACAAATGGATGCGATGCTCAAAAGTTTTGATGCGAAGATGGCCGAAATGGAGAACAGAATGTTCGATCTGGTTACAAACGTAACCACGATGTCTGACGAAAACAGAGCGAACACGGAGCAACTCGATCACTTGAAGTCGATGTTTTTCGTGGATTCGATTACTTTCAACAACTCGGAATACTTCCTCTCGAGAGACAACTTCGGAAGCGCCAACGTCTCGGCCACCATCTGCGCCATCTATGGAGGCTATCTCGTGGAGTTTGACGGCCCCGACGAGTTTGAGGCGGTCAAGAACTTCATTCAAAACTTCACCGAGTTTTATTACGTCTACGTCGGTGGGAGTGACTTGAAACACAAAGATCAGTGGACGTACGAGTCCACAGGTCAGAACATGACG